GAAATAAAGTGCTACATAAACAACAAATGCTGAATCGTTCAAAATCAATTGCCAATAATATAGATAATAAAGTGCCAATAGTGCTATTGTTGACCATAAATAAATCATGAAATATAAAGTGACAGATGTGCTTGTGTATTGATCATGTACAAAAGTCCAATAAGTGATCCAGTGTGTATGAATCTGGGGAGAGCCAATCAAGGTGGCTAAGGTGCTAATAAAGTTAATAGTCCAAATAATGAACTTGGGGATCCTTCAAGAGATCTCAAGATAGATGGTCCAAACTCCTATCTCCAATTCATAAGTGGTATATCTGGTAATAGAAAAATTGCGCACTCACCAGATGCGCAATATCATCACGCATTTGAGAACACAACTGTCTCATCAGGTCAGCCAAATCCTCTTATGGTATGTACAGCCTGGTCACGGTTCCCCTCTGGATCCTCCATGGGTAACATCACATCTAGCTTTCTCTTTAAATGGCTCTGTGGATGGTTAGGCTCACAAAGAGCTAGCATTGTCCTCCGAATCTTTACTACTACTTGGTAGTCTTGAACGTTTCATGGCTTGCACAGGAATACCACTGGCAACCTGCCCGGCTGTTCCCAGCCACCTTGTATGGAGTTGGCGGTGCTCGTCCCCCCCTCAGCGCTCTCCGATGATTGATTTGTTCCCCGGGTCCGGCCCAGCCGAGCCGCTCCTGGAGCAGATTGGCTCTCCTCACACACAGGTTTATTATTAATAAATAATTCTACAATTGGATGATACAGAGTTGCCGGCTCTTTATCCCTTTGAATCTTTGAGTACTAGTGGAGACCCCGCCAGCCTGAGCACCCCTTCCTCACGGGATTCCAATGAAAGGGATGCCTTTTTCTGTATATCCACTTGCCTACCAGAGAATACTTTGCATTTTCTCAGTGAATGCAAACTTGCAAAGCATCCTCTGATTGGACGAGGTGGAGAGTGTTGCATCAGTGCCCCCGGGCAAGCAGCTCGGCATGGGACCGGGCAAGCAGCTCGGCATGGGACCGGGCATGCAGCTCGGCATGGGACCCGGGCATGCAGCTCGGCATGGGACCCGGGCATGCAGCTCGGCATGGGACCGGGCATGCAGCTCGGCATGGGACTGGGAAAGCTAGCGGAGATCACTGGAGTAGTTGTGTCTACTAAAGTGTTTTCCAGCTTCAAGAGGTATTCCACAGGTATGGTGTATATGGTCCAAGATGGCCACTATAGCTATGTAAAAATATTCATGCCTGGAATTTATTCTTTAAAGTGTTACTAAACCCCCAACAGTAAAATCGGTCTGTATATGCAGTAAAGCATGTTTGTTATACTCACTTTGCGGCACCTAAGGGGTTAACCCTCCGCATTGTGTAAAAAGGCTGTTTGATCCTGTCTTCTCTGAGCCTCCCCTTCTACTGTCCCCAATTCATCTAATAGCACAGATCTCTAGAAGTCACTCTGCACATGCTCAGTTTGGTGTGTATTGCTTGATTTTTTTTTTTTTTTTTTTTGTTTGGAAGGTGCATGTGATCAGTACAGGGCCAATCAGCACTGTCCAGATAGAGGGTCAGGGGTTATGCAGCCTCATAGAAAAAAAAAATCAAATTGATTTTAATAGTTTTTTTTTTTTTTTAATCCACCCTAGTTCAAAGGGATGCAAATGTGTAGAAACTGGAACTATCAACAGACATTATAGTAAATTAACGTAAGCTAGCCTTACATTACACAATTTTCCTGTAGATTTACTAAAACCATATAATAGGAGGTCAAATATGAACACTTTTCTATGTATGCAATCAGACAGGCCCTTGTACTTCATAGTTGAAGGTAGAATAAGAACATTGTATAATGTCGAAAGAGCAGGGCCCTCGATCCCCTCATGTTCTGCATTGTATTGGTATTGTTCTGTCACATGTTCTGTCCCCCTTTGTAATGTACAGCGCTGAGCGAACTATTGGCGCTTTATAAATACTGTATAATAATAATAATAATAAAGTATGGCCAGAAGACAGCAAGAGTGAGGAAAAGTATGATATTGTGCAACTTGCTTGATTTTCTCTGCCTATAGTCAGTAGCTAAGACATTTGGAACATGCACATATTCTTTGCGTTTTTGTAATCTTCGTTATACTTCCTCCGGGAATAGAATAATTTGCCTGAAACTCACTAGGACGTAAATATGTTAAAATTTCCATGTCAGTTGTAACGTGAAACAAAACAACCGAGCTCGGTCAGAAGCTTCCTTGACGTCTGTCGTCTGACATTTTATACAGCCATCAGAGGTCTGTGCGGACACAGTACATTATTTTACACTGCGAGATTTTCCGATCCGCTGGAGGAGTTCGGAGACGTTGAGGAGGAAGGCTGCCTTCTCCAGGCTCTGATTAATTTTCCTGACACTCAGGACGGGAAATATTAACTTGTCACTTCCGTCATCTGGGAGCTTTAATTCTCTGCGATGGCAGCTCCTCAGGAAGCCAGATCTTATAGTGAAATCGTATATCATTTACAAGAAGTAGCTGATGGACTCGTGTTTTGTTTCTTTTTTTAATTTTATATATATATATATATATATATATATATATATATATATATATATATATATATATATATATAAATCTAAATATATATCTATAGAAATCTAAATATATATATATATATATATATATATATATATATATATATTCCCCTTCTTCAGCTAATAAACAGGTGTCCCTTTTTTTCCTTGATTTTCAATGATTTTCTTATGATTTTTTTTTTAAAGGGTTTTTTTTTTATGGATTTAACTCCATATTCGTAGAAAAGAAAAAAGCAAATAAAAAAAAAAATATAGCATATACAATTGTGACTCAAGTCCTATTGTAATTAAATTATTATACAGTATTTGTAAAGCGCCAATAGTTCGCTCAGCGCTGTACATTACAATGGGGGACAGAACAGTAACAATACAATGCAAAACATGAGAGGATCGAGGGCCCTGCTCTTTCGAGTTTACAATCTAGGAGATTAATGATATTAATTAAATTTACCTTTCCTTTTCAATCTGCAGCCCTGTAATTTTCTGTAAAATTCAATCCAATATGGCTACCTGGAGGCATTCTGTACACAGATGGTGTACTGGACACCACCCTGAAAATGTGGTGCTTGTGTGATTGGCTCACTGATTTTCTCAGAAGTCTGCACTTATCAGTCACATTTTTGGCATCCCCTGCAAGAAAAATGTCATTTTTGGTGGGATGCTCCCAATAAGAAAGCATGTTCAAAGGGATGCAGACCCTGCCACTTTCCTCATTTAGAACCCTGCAGGTGCAGCTGCTGATTTATAATTATAAAACCACTCCCATACAGATTCACTCTGCACATGAACAGAGACAAACAAACCAGAATAACAGAAGGTAGAAATCTGCATCAAAGTTTTTGTTAAAATCCTTGCAATGTGCATAATTCGCCCAGATGGGATTTTTTTTCTCAATGGATGGGATGGATCTCAGTGGATGGGCCTTTAACCATGAGAGGCCACATATATGCATACCAAAAAGTAAGCAAAGTTACCAATGCCTAACCACTCCCGATTGCAAGTCGCTTTCTAATCATGTGATGCTGTGACAGCCAGTCACCGTGGTCACGTGATTATAAACCCTGTCCCGCCTCCCAGCATCTGAAATCCCTTAAAGGGCCGGGAGGGACCAGAGTTAAAGCGGAGTTCCAGCTGAAAAAAAAATTAAAAGTCAGCAGCTATAAATACTGTAGCTGCTGACTTTTAAAATACAGCCACTTACCTGTCCCTCGGTCCAGCGGTGTCCTCACCACCACTGGTTTCACCGACCGTCTTCTCTCCCTGGCGCCGGCATCATTAGTGTTTGCACCCGGCTGTGACAGCTTGCGGCTTCACCACTGCGCATGTGCGAGAAGCGCTGCGCTTTGTGAATGGCCCCATAGTCTTCTGGAACCTATCACGTGACAGGTCCCAGAAGACTATGGGGAGGGAGGGGGGGAGGACAACTTCCGTTTCCGATTGACTGTGGCTCTCTAGCTTTTGTGGAACTACATTTCCCATGAGGCATTGCAAAGATTACAAAACTGAAAGTTACAGCTCTGACTTGCAGAGGCATGATGGAACTTGTAGTCCTGTGGCTCTCAGGTTGCCTACCCCTGGCCTAGGCGATTGCAGCGGAAGTGGGAGTTGGTACCTGTCAAATTTAGGTACCCGCTCCCCAAAGGTGCCAATCCTTAATGGGGAGCGGGGGACAAAGCATTAAAGCGGAACTTCTCCTTTTGGGGGAACTCCGCTTTTAAGTAGAAAAATCATAAAAGCTGTTAAGCCCTTGCAGAGGCAATGACATCAAATGACAGTAAATCATAACCAAGGATATCAAAGTAATGGATCGACGTGAACTGTCGAGAGGCAAGCAGTACAAATGCATACCTACGGTTATGAGCGAGTGGTAAAATGAGATGCCTGAGAGGATTGAGTAGTCTAACAGGTAAAAGATGGAGGGGACGTTGGGTTTGGTGGGGAGGACGGAAAGGGGTAAAAAAAAAGTACTAAAGGTAAGATAGACTTTCTGGGTTTAAAAAAGGCGGGGAATATTTAAGCCATGGTTCTCATGTCTGTAGGAATTTTATGTTAGGAGTCATTGAAAAGTAAGATTTTAATCACTATCTCTCAATGAACACAAGAACAATTTTCAAAATTTTGACAAAACTGAGTTTTATAGAACATTTTTTTTGGCGCATTACATGACAGGTTAATAATATAACTTCGATTACAAAATCTTCAGTTTTACTCAAATTAGTTGATGCAAAAATTAATCCACCCCACAACAAAAACTACTACATCTAGTATTTTGTATGACCGCCATGATTTGTAAGGACAGCACCAAGTCTTCTAGGCATGGAATGAACAAGTCGGCAACATCGATCTTTTTCCATTCTTCAAGACACAGTACAGGGGATGACCAGAGACTGTGGACACAGTACAGGGGATGACCAGAGACTGCGGACACAGTACAGGGGATGACCAGAGACTGCGGACACAGTACAGGAGATGACCAGAGACTGTGGACATAGTACAGGAGATGACCAGAGACTGCGGACACAGTACAGGAGATGACCAGACTGCGGACACAGTACAGGAGATGACCAGAGACTGCGGACACAGTACAGGAGATGACCAGAGACTGCAGACACAGTACAGGAGATGACCAGAGACTGCAGACACAGTACAGGAGATGACCAGAGACTGCAGACACAGTACAGGAGATGACCAGAGACTGCAGACACAGTACAGGAGATGACCAGAGACTGCAGACACAGTACAGGAGATGACCAGAGACTGCAGACACAGTACAGGAGATGACCAGAGACTGCAGACACAGTACAGGAGATGACCAGAGACTGCAGACAGTGCAAGGGATGACCAGAGACTGCAGACAGTGCAAGGGATGACGAGACTGCAGACAGTAAAAGGAGATTACCAGAGACTGCGGACCTTTGGGGTGGGAGGGGGAACGGGTACCTGAATTTGACAGCTACCTGCTCCCACTTTTGCGGAGTTGTCCTTCCCTCTTCTTTCCGCGGCGGCTTCTGTGACAGCCGGGTGCCCACTGCGCATGCGCGAGAAGCGCTGCGCTTTGTGAATGACCCGGAGCCTTCTGGGACCTGTCGTGTGCCAGAAGACACCGGACCATTCACAAAGCGCAGCGCTTCTCGCGCATGCGCAGCGGGCACCCGGCTGTCACAGAAGCCGCTGCGGGAAGACTGCAGCGCTGGAGCGAGGAACAGGTAAGGTCCTGCAGGAGAGAAGAGCTGAGCGGCCGGCCCGGATATTCTGACATGGTGGTGGCAGAAATACCGGACCGCCCGCTTTACATTCGCTCCATAAGACGCACTGACATTTCCCCCCCTTTTTTTGGGGGGGGGGGGGAAAAAGTGCGTCTTTATGGAGCGAAAAATACGGTAATTAATATTTTCGATTTGCAAAGTTGCTGCCTTCTTATGTTTGTGTTTTCTGTCTGTTTGATTTGTGATGTGTTTTTGTGTTGACAGCTCCTGGCTCTGCTGGCATTTATCTGCATCGAGACGATAATGGAGTGCTCGCCATGTGAAGGATTGTATTTCTTTGAATTTGTCAGCTGCAGTGCGTTTGTGGTGACCGGCGTTTTACTGCTCATGTTCAGCCTGTCCCTCCATGAGCGTGTCCCTCACATCAATTGGATTCTGACGGTGAGTCTCCTGTCTGCGCAGTTCACTGTGTACAGTCAGACACATAGACTTTTTTTTGGGGGGGGGGGGGGGGGGGTGGCAGCGCATGAGGATATATTCTCATTATTAGGATTTGCATACACATTGAAGTGCACCTGTGTCCAAGAAATTCATTATAAACGAAGGATAGCCCTGAAAAGTGGAGTATTGCAGCTTTTCTGCCTTCCCTTTCCAATTCTACTACTATCTATGGTAGTCATACATTGAATGTCACAAAGACTAGAAGCTGCTCAGGTTATTGCTGGACTGCCCAATAGATTGGCTCTCAGTCACTCGCACTTGTTCTGATGTCCGCATTGTGTTGGCTCTCCTCCTCTCCTGTCAATGCTCCTTCCATTAGGTCATCAGGGGAAAGGCATGTCCTTGGAAGTCTGAATGGTCTGCTGAGTGTACCTGTCACAGGAGCAGGTAAACAAGACGTTCCTGCTAGCAGATCCAATGCAAATGTCACCGCTGTCAGTATCACGATTGTTACTGAGCTCTGCAAAGCTGAATCAACATGCTCCATATATTAAAAGACACCAATATGATAAAAACGATATTTCAATACGTGAATGAATATATACTGGAAGATGGACAGCGGTACTGGTAAGCTGCTTTGCTTCTCTTTTCAGGGCTACTCTCAGGAGTCCTTTTAACCACTTGCCGCCCAGCCACTGTATATATACGGCGGCAGGGCAGCACTCGCAGGCAAAACCACATTTTAAAACGTTACTTTTTGTAAACAAATAGGGGGCGTGTGCGAGGCACGCCGCCGCCCTATCTGTCCCGCGGATCATCGCTGCAGATGTGAGTCGCCGGGTCACAGCCGGTCCTTAGCGGCTGTTTCCCGGCGATCGGTGGCAAACAGTGACAGACAGCACAGCTGCAGTAGCTGTGCTGTCTGTCACTTCCCTGTCAGCTCGAGGATGAGCTGATCAAGAAAGAACAGTTTCTCTTTCAGCCTTGTCCCGCCCAGTACACACCCCCGCCCCCTAGTAAAACACTCCCCCCTCACTCATATAACCCTTCCCTGCAAAATAAAGTTAACCTCTTCCTCCCCATTCCCATTAGTACAGTGTCAGTGGTTTTTTTTTTTTTTGCACTGATCACTGTATTAGTGTTTTTGGGGATGTCAGTGACCCCAAGTCAGTACCCCCCAATGTCAGAATGTCTGCCGCAGTCCCGCCATAAGTCGCTGGTCGCTGCCATAAGTCCCTGATTGCCGCCATAATTCACTGATCGCCGCCATTATTAGTATAAAAAAACCCTAAAAATCCCAGTATCTTTCCCGCCATTTGTAAACGCTATAACTTTCACGTAAACCAATTAATTTACACGTATTGGGTTTTTTTTTTAGCAAAGACATGTCGCAGAATACATTTTGGCAGAAATTTATGACTAAATTTGATTTTTGCATTTTTTTTTTACTGGACATGTTTTATAGCAAAAAGTCCAAAACATTGTTTTTTTTCCCTCAAAATTGTCAGCCTTTTTTTTTTATAGCGCAAAAAATAAAAACTGCACAGGCGATCAAATACCACCGAAAGAAAGCTCAATTTGTGGGGAAAAAAAGGATGTAAATTTTCATTTATGTACCGTATTGCATGACCGCGCAATTGTCCGTTAAACTAGCGCAGCGCTGTATAGCAGAAAAATGGCGTAAATTGCAGTATCTATACCATAGTTTGTAGACGCTATAACTTCCACACAAAGCAATCAATATACACTTATTGGGATTTTTTTTACCAAAAACATGGAGCAGAATACATTTTGGCCTAAATTTATAACCAACTTTGAGTTTACTATATATTTTTTATAGCTGAAAGTAAAAAATATCGTTTTTCTTCAAAATGTTTGGCCTTTTTTTGTTTATAGCGTGAAAAATAAAAAGCGCACAGGTGATCAAATTACACCGAAAGAAAGCTCTATTTGTGTGAAAAAAAGGACGTAAATTTCATTTGGGTGCAGCATTGCATGACCGCGCAATTATCAGTTGAATTAGTGCAGCGCCGAGTAGCAAAAAGAGGCGTGGTCATTAAGGGGGGTAAATCCTCTGGAGCTCAAGTGGTTAATGAAGTAGAACAGGGGTGTCAAACTGGCGGCCCTCCAGCTGTTGCGAAACTACAAGTCCCATCATGCTTCTGCCTTTGGGAGTCATGCTTGTAACTGTCAATCTTGCAATGCCTCATCGGACTTGTAGTTTGGCAACAGCTGGGGGCCGCCAGTTTGACACCCGTGTAGTAGAGCAATACATAGCAGCATGTCAGTGCTGACGGGAGAGATCCGTGTTGTTTACACACAGGTCTCTCCCATCACTGTTCCTCAACGATTGCCGGGTGCCGGTGGGAAATCTCTGGCTGGGACCCAGTGATCGACATCTGTAGCCATCAGTTTGACACCCGTGAAGTAGAGTAATGGTCATTATCAGGTATCATGGCCAGGTTAAAAAAAAAAAAGGCGCCACACATTTATAAAGTAAAGCAGTGTGCTTCACATATGTGCATTGCATTCCCCTTGCCTCAGGACCCTAATCACATGACCGAAAAAGCCTCTTTGTTAAAACTTGCCCTCTGCCCTATAGCAGAAGTACTGCTACAGGGCGGCAGGGCTGCGCAAAATCACGTGTATGTATGTGTATATATGTGTGTGTGTGTGTGTATATATATATATGTGTGTATGTATATATATATATATATATATATATATGATTTGCATTTCCAGGTAGGGGGTGCGCGTCGCTAACAGCGGATGGGGATGTCAATCACCGAGTCCCGGACGGTGTTTCCTGGCCGGCACTCTGTGATTGCCAAGTAAAGCTGACAGGGGAGAGACCTGTGTGTAAACAACACAGATCTCTCTCCTGTCAGCAAGGACATGCTGCTTTGTATCTCTCTGCACAGCAGAGAAATACAAAACAGCATGTCTCCCAAGTAAAACAGCAAACAGTAAAACGCACACAGTTAACCCTTTGATCGCCCCAGATGTTAACCCCTTCCTGCCCAGTGCCATTAGTGTACAGTCAGTGCTTTTTATTAGCACTGATCACTGTATTAGTGTCACTGGGGATGTCTGTGGCAGTTAGTTCCTCCCCAGTGTCAGAACGCCTGCCGCAAACCCACTATAAGTCACTGATCGCCACAATGCTAGTATAAAATAAAAATAAACATCCCAGTATCTATACCGCCATTTGTAAACACTATAACTTTTACATAAACCAATTAATTTACATGTATTGGGATTTTTTTTTTTAGAAAAGACGTGGAGCAGAATACAATTTTGGGCCAAATTTATGAATAAGTTTTATTTTTTTTTAACATTTTTATTGTATTTATATTTTTATGTTTTTATAGTACCAAGTCAAAAAAAAGTGTGTGTTTTTTTGTTTGGTTTTGTTTTTCTTCAAAATTGTCGGTATTCTTTTGTTTATAGCGAGAAAAAAACAAAACTCTGCAAAGGTGATCAAATACCTCCAAAAGAAAGCTCTACTTGTGGGAGAAAAAAGGACATAACTTTCACTTATGTACAGTGTTGCATGACCGCACAATTGTCAGTTAAAGTAACGCAGCGCTGTATCGCAAAGAATGGCCTGGTCAGGAATGGGGGTAAATCCTCTTGAGGGCTGTAAACCCTTCCATATACCCAGTGAAGTGATTTGGCCTCAGGTGATGTACAGAGATGAAACAAATCCTCCTACATAAGTAGTACCTGTTTATCTGTAGTCATCACTTCTCTGCAGCTGTTCAAAGTGCAGAATTTATACAGCTTGTCTGAGTGTTCAGAAAGCAGGGGACAGGACTCTGAAATGCCACACTGCAGAGCTTAGTGAGGGGAGCTCTGAAAGCTGATTGGAAGGAAGGGACACCTCTCCCCACCTTCACACAGCACCAGGGGCGGACTGACCATTTGGAAACTCGGGCTCTGCTCGAGGGCCCAGGGTCAGTAGAGGGCCCCATGAGATGCCCCTGGTACCTTTTTCATAGGCTCTTTTGAGTTTGGGCAAGGACACAGAGGCCCCATGATCCCCTATTGCCCGGGGGCCCCATTAGTTGTCAGTCCACCCCTGCACAGCACACAGGAACAGAGATAAGGCTGTCAATTACAGACTGTGTACTGGGGGTCCCTCCCCTGTCACCATTTTTCTCTTGGTGTCAGGAACACTTGTCAGAAGTGACTCATGCTGATAAAGGAAGGATGCAGCAGACAGAAATGACACTTGGTGCTCTGTGTTGAGACAAGTACACACTATAGAAGGATATGCTTTGTTCATATTTCATGTCTGAGGATTACAACCACTATAAGTAGGGCACTGCGGGCTGTACACCACAACCTGCATTTTATGAATGAGCCATAAAATGCATGCTGAGTTGTGGACTAACTTTGTGGAATTTTCTCATTTCTTTTCTATTAGACTTTTTACTTCTGTTTGAAGTTTTATTGCTG